TCAATGACTAATGGCATGAGTGCAGTATTACAAGTGGCGATCGCATACATGTACAAGCATGCGAATCTCTTGCTTTGCGCGCTGATTCCTCTGTTGGTGCACAAAACTTCTTACGCCNCCTTAAATATACGTTGATTAAGTGCCAATTTTCTTGTCCGCTCTCAAATAAACACTGCTGAAGTGCGATTTAGTGCGTTTATGTAACGAGTATGTCTCATGTGACATTTATTAGATTTGTTAGGAATATTTATGATCTGCAACTGGGTGAGGCATTGACGCAGTAGGTAGTGCTGTCGCCTCACAGCAAGAAGGTTGCTTGTTCGAGACTCAGCTCAGCTAACATTTCTGTGTGGAGTTTGCATGTTCTCCCTGCGTTCGTGTGGGTTTCCTCCGGGTGCTCTGGTTTCCCCCACAGTCCAAACACATGCGGTACAGGTGAATTGGGTAGGCTAAATTGTCCGTAGTGTATGAGTGTGTGTGTGAATGTGTGTGTGGATGTTTCCCAGAGATGGGTTGCAGCTGGAAGGGCATCCACTGCATAAAAACGTGCAGGATAAGTTGGTGGTTCATTCCGCTGTGGCGACCCTGGATTAATAAAGGGACTAAGCCGACAAGAAAATGAATGAATGAATGACTGATCTGCAACTGCAATAGTGTTCAGTGGTCATACATCAGCAGAGTTAACACTTCAACAGAAAGCGCTGGAAATAATAAAAACACAAGAAAAGTTGTCAGCCGAGACAGTCTGGCTCCATCTTTCCTTGGTGCATTATGTGTTCTTGTATGTCATGTAATTTGCATATATTAGCATATCTCAGATTTCTACAGTATGTGTGTGCTCTGCATGAATGATGTAAAGACGAGTGTGAGAAGCGCTGCAGATGCAGAACAGTAAAGCGCAGATATTCACCAGAGGTTGACTAGAAACACGTGTTCGATCTCCTGCAGGATCTCCAGCTCTCGGAACACGTTGCGGACCTCGTCCCGCTCGATGCACTGCTGCTTGTTCATGTACTTCATGGCGTACATCTTCTCTGTGTCCCGCTTCTGCACGATACACACCTGAAACACACAATCGCAGAGTTACGAGCAGATCACATCGCTAACATTCATTCACACACAATCATTCACACACACGCACACCCATCCATGCACAAATATAGACAATCACACACACACACACACACCTGTGACCAACACTACTGACCACGCACACTTGTTAAACACATACTAACACACACCTTGTAAACACACATACACCTGTGGCAAATACTACTTACCACAAACACACACACACACACACACACACACACACACCTGTTAATCACACACCTGGCCACAATTACTGACCATGCACACACACCTGTTAAACACACATCTGTAAAACTAAAACACACACACACATGTGAGCAACATTACTGACCACACACACACACATCTGTTAAACACACACACACTTAAGGCCATGATTACTGACCACGCAGACACACCTGTTAAACACACGTCTGTAAAACTAAAACACACACACACAGAGATATCCGTGACCAACATTACTGAACACACACACACACACACACACACACACACACGTGACCAACACTATTGACCACACACACACACACACACACACACACACACACACCTGTGACCAACAATACTGACCACACACACACACACACATACGCACGCACGCACACACGCACGCACGCACGCACGCACGCACACACACACACACACACACACACACACACACACACACACACACACACACACACACACATACACACACTCACTCACTCTCACTCTCACTCTCACTCTCACTCTCACACACACACACACACACACACACGCGCGCGGCCAACACTATTGACCACACACACACACAAACACACCTGTGACCAACATTACTGACCACACACACACGCACACAGGCGTGGCCAACACTATTGACAACACACACACACACCTTTGACCAACATTATTGACCACACACACACACACCTGTGACCAACATTATTGACCACACACACACACACACACACACACACACACACTCACACCCATTAAACATATACTCACACACACCTAGTAGACACGCAAATACACTGACACACACACCTGTGACCAACACTACTGACCACACACACACGCACATACAAACCTGTAGCCAACATTACTGACCATTCACACACACACCTCTGGCCAACACTACTGACAACACACACATACACCCACACACACCTCTGGCCAACACTACTGACAACACACACATACACACACACACACACACACACACACACACACGTGGCCAACACTACTGACAACACACACACACACACACACACACACACACACACACACACACACATACACACACACACACACACACACACACACACACATACACACACGCACACAAACACACACGTGGCCAACACTACTGACCACACACCTAAAAACCATACAAGTGCTCCTGCTGCTGTTTCTGTGATAGTGTTAATGACCGGCGCTGGATGAAAACACACAGACGGTGGTGTCCTCATTCAGCTGCATGAGTGAACTATCAAGTGAACTAGAAAGTGTTCTGATTCTGTCACATGTCTGCTGAGCGTCCAGAGGCAACAATAAACCCATGCAGCGTCCAGCAGAGAGAGAAAAGCCCATCAGCAGCACAAACAGCTCAGAGCGGCCAATAAACACTGAGCTGAACTTTAGAGGAGCCTCTGAGCTCAACAACAGACCAGTGAAAACACAGTAAAGCGGCTGTAATTACATCCATCACACTTCAACACAAACCTGCGGCGCCGCTAACTCTGACAAACAGCCCAATATCAGGACAGCAGCACAACACATTAGCCAGGACAAATCACTCAAATAACACACACTGCTCTGCTCTGACCAGAGAGACATGCACTAAACCACAAACATTAAAGGTGTTTTGACGATGCTGCAGCACAGAATGCAGAACAGTAAAAAGATGCGGCCGGATGACTGTAGATGCAAACTCATTATTGCAACAACATACTTGTTGTAAACATACAATTTCAAGGTAATGCATAATTGCGAGACGTAATTCAAAATTGCGAGATGCAACTTTTAACTGTGAGATGTAACTCATAATTATAAGACATAAGTCATAATTGCATGACGTAAAATCACAACTGCGAGATGTAAAATCATACATGCCAGACGTTAATCATAATTGCGAGACGTAACTCATAGTTGCGAGACAAAACTCATAGTTGCAAGACAAAACTCATAGTTGCGAGACAAAACTCATAGTTGCAAGACAAAACTCATAGTTGCAAGACGAAACTCATAGTTGCGAGACGAAACTCATAGTTGCAAGACGAAACTCATAGTTGCAAGACGAAACTCATAGTTGCGAGACGAAACTCATAGTTGCGAGACGAAACTCATAGTTGCAAGACGAAACTCATAGTTGCAAGACGAAACTCATAGTTGCGAGACGAAACTCATAGTTGCAAGACGAAACTCATAGTTGCGAGACATAATTCATAATTGCAAACAAAATTCATAATTGCGAGACGTAACTCATAATTGCAAGATGTAAATCATAAATGTGAGGCGTACTTCATAATTCAGAGATAAAATTCATAATTGTGAGACATAATTCATAATTGCGAGACGTAACTCATAATTGTGAGACATAACTCAATTGCTAAATATAAACTCATAATTGTGCGACATAACTCATAATTGCAAAATGTAAACTCATCATTGCGAGACGTAACTCCTAATTGGGAGAGGTAACTCATAATTGCGAGACGTAATTCATAAATGCGAGACATAACTCATAAATGCGAGACGTAACTCATAATTGCGAGACATAACTCATAATTGCGAGACGTAACTTATAATTGCGAGACGTAATTCATAAATGCGAGACATAACTCATAAATGCGAGACGTAACTCATAATTGCGAGACGTAACTCATAATTGCGAGACGTAACTTATAATTGCGAGACGTAACTCATAAATGCGAGACGTAACTCATAATTGCGAGACGTAACTCATAATTGCGAGATGTAACTCATAATTGCGAGACGTAATTCATAATTGCGAGACGTAATTCATAATTGCGAGACGTAATTCATAATTGCGAGACATAACTCATAATTGCGAGACGTAACTCATAATTGCGAGACATAATTCATAATTGCAAGACGTAACTCATAATTGCGAGATGTAACTCATAATTGCGAGACGTAATTCATAATTGCGAGACGTAACTCATAATTGCGAGACGTAACTCATAATTGCGAGACGTAACTCATAATTGCGAGACGTAATTCATAATTGCGAGACGTAACTCATAATTGCGAGACGTAACTCATAATTGCGAGACGTAACTCATAATTGCGAGACGTAATTCATAATTGCGAGACGTAACTCATAATTGCGAGACGTAACTCATAATTGCGAGACGTAACTCATAATTGTGAGAGGTAACTCATAATTCTGATACAGCTCAGTTTCATGATGTAAAATCACAATTGCGAGACATAATTGTAACTCATAATTGCAAGATGTAAATCATAAATGTGAGACAACTTATAATTATGAGATGTAACTCATAATTGCGAGACGTAACTCATAATTGCGAGACGTAACTCATAATTGCAAAATCATAAATGTAAGATAAATTCATGATTGTGAGATGTAAAATCATAATTGAAAGATTTTAACTCATGATTGCAAGAAATAAACTCATAATTGTGAGACATAACTTATAATTGTGAGATGTAACTTCAGGCCAGTGAACTCCTGCTGGCTGCTATGATGGTTAAATATTGATAAAGACACCTGTGATTGTGCTTGAACACACATTAGACATGTTGGTAAAGGTCAGTGCTGGTGAATGTGAGGAGCTGTTATGGATATACTGAAGATCTGCTCTGCTGCATTTCCAGAACCACAGCGTGCTGGATTACTTCTGAACTGTAGTCAGTGACTGATTTCAAATTATGCATTACTTTTAGTCAAAATAAAAGAAAATTAATTTTTTTATTCAGCAAAGATGCATTATGTTGATCAAACAAAACAATTACTATTTAATAATTTACAATTACAAAAGGTTTCATTTAGATTAAATTCTGTTCTTCTAAACTTTCTACTGATCTGGGAATCCTGAAAAATACAATATAGAACAGTTTCCACAAAATATGAAGCTGTAAAACTTTTTCTACATTGAAAATAAGTTGACATGGACAAAAATGTTTCTTTAACAAACCAAGGAACATTGATTTTTTTTATTATTAACTTCATTTAATAATAGTAACGTATAGTAAAAACTGTGTTTTCAAATCACACCATAGTGAATTAATTGATCTGTTAATCTGTAACAACTATAGCAATTGATCTGTTGTGGTGATTCTACAGTTGTTATGGTAACACAGCAGCTGTAGTTACTGATCTGTTGTGGTGATTCAACAGTTGCTATGGTTACACAAC